GTGATGAAAACTCAAAGAGGTTGTTTTATTCATCATCATTAGGCGATAGGTGAAGGCAGCAGATAAATTTGGTCAGTTTGGTACCGACTAGCTTGAACCACATCACATGAAAGTCTTTTGGTTCCAAACTCTCTACACGCTGGCATGAAAGGTTAGCCTTAGCGTAGAGGCAGACTCCACTTTTGAACCTGAATCAAGAATGGAGTTCGTAACCAGGATAGAGCATGTGGACCTCGTTGGTGGACGAGTTCACTTGAGTTTCCGTTAGTGCCAGAATATCTGGTTTTTCCGTTTGTAGATGATGGGAGACGTTATTGATATTTTTGTTGAGTCCGCGGAATAATCTTTAGAGATAAGTTCCCTCAAGTACCTCTCGCCCGGAAATCCGAATGTAGGGGTATTTTACTTCCGGAGTGTTTTACTCTAGGAGACTTCATCATCTCTATTCATAGAAAGGAGAAATTGGGGGAAAGGGTGGAGGTGCTCAGAAAGTATCAATCGAACACTGAAACATGAAGTGATCCATTCCACAGCACAAAAAGTCGATATGGTGGTACTTCACCTGGTGATGAGACCATCTACCACCTAAAGTTATCCTCGCAGGAAGGAAGGAATGCTCGAAGTCATCTCCACAAATTTTAATGATATTTTTAACTAATTCATGAGGGACATGTTTCGGTCTTATAAAAGACCATCTTCAGCCTAATTGAAAAACCTACAATACAAAACAAATGATATTGAAATGAAAAGATTACCTATTTTATGCTAGACTTACTTGGAGTTGAAAAAATTATTTTCTGCCAATGCCCATAGTCGAGAGTTCCAAAATGAATATTGAATAAACGAGTTCTCAATAAATGAAGGGCCCCGTGCCCTGAGAGCGTATACTAAGTTTCATTAAAGAACATTTCATATACCCAAAATGGTATATGAAGGGTATTGTCAAACAATTTAATATCTGACAACACCATAAACTAGCGGGTTTTTTAAAAAAGGGGTTCCCCGTTCCCTTATGAAGGCGTTATTTAAAGCAAATATCAATAAAATTGATGGGGCAAGCAGCCAGCACGTGTTCTAAATCTAAACTGATTTGGTCAGAAAACACTGAAAATTATGTCAATTGAAGACATGGACAAGACGTTGACATAGAGTCAATGTCAATGTCAAGGGATAAAACATGAAAATCTGACCATGAGCATAGGCATTTAACAAGATCTATTACAATTATTGGAGAATTTGGATTAAGGGGGGAGGGATACATGTAGGAGAGAGTTGAGCAACCTGAAAAAACCATTGACTATGAAATATCATAAAATAAGTTGAGACCAATGTAGGTGAACTATCAGTGATTAAAATCCAAAGCATTAAAAAATTTTATACAATCAAAATGTGTTTGCTCATTAAGAGACAAGACAGAATTATTATTCAAGGAAGAGTTAATTTCGAAAATTTCCAGTAAATTCAGTAACCTACCAAATTTACTTTGGGTATATAAAATGTTCTTTAATAAAACTTAGTATACGCTCTCAGGGCACGGGGCCCTTTATTCCCAGACAGCACTGGATATTCCTAGAATATTCTCTAAATATGCTTAAAGAGAAGAATATATTTCGGATATCCTTCGAATATTCTTAGAATATATACGTGCCTCTGGAACATTCAAGGAATATTCAAATGTGAATATTCTGGTAATATTCCAAAATGAATATACAAGGAATATTCCAGAAGGAATATTCTAAAGTGAATATTCCTAGAATATTCCAGTTGGATAGTGCAGGGAATATTCAGGTATGAATATTCCAGGAATATTCCCAACTGAATATTCTGTTCCTGTATATTCATGGAATATTCCAATAATATTCCCATGTGTTTCAATGAAATTGTAAAGTATGGAAATTAACCAATCACTATGTTATAGATGTGAGTCATTGATTTTGAAATCTGTGGTAGAAGTCCATTGTATTTCAAAGTAAAGTGGTTATATCACCAGGGATCAAAAACACAAAGTCGTCTCCACAATTTTGATAGGTAGTGATCAAAGTACTCAAAGATCATCGTACATGTTAAGAGCCCATATGGAACTGGAAGTGTTCATGATCGGCTTCTGAACAACGCAATTCAATGAATTGTTATGTACAGTATAATTCAACTCGATTACTGGCCTAGTGGTTAAGGCGTTGATCTGACAGTCTGAAAGTCCCGAGTTCGAGCCCATCTTGGGTCAGCTTTTTTTAATTATGAATATGTATTAAGGAATATTCCCGGAATATTCATTTATTTATATTCCTGTATTATTCCTGGAATATTCCGAATATTATCTGAATATTCGTAGAATATTATAGGTATATTCTGAATATATAGGGAATATTCCTTGTGTAATATTCCGGGAATATATAAAATTTTCCCCACCAGCACATTCAGGGAATATTCCATAGAAGATATGTATATCCCTGGCATGTTCATGAATATTCGCAATATCCAAAAAGAATATTCTATGAATATTCATGGAATATCTGGTGCTGTCTGGGTTTATTGAGAACCCGTTTATTCAATATTTATTTTGGAACTCTCGACTATGGGCATTGGCAGAAAATAATTTTTTTAACTCCAAGTAAGTCTAGCATAAAATAGGTAATCTTTTCATTTCAATATCATTTGTTTTGTATTGTAGACTTTTCAATTAGGCTGAAGATGGTCTTTTATAAGACCGAAACATGTCCCTCATGAATTAGTTAAAAATATCATTAAAATTTGTGGAGATGACTTCGAGCATTCCTTCCTTCCTTTGAAATATTTCACTCCACTTTGAGCAATATGGACTTCTACCAAAGATTAAAGTTATCATTTTAGCCGCCTTTTACGACAGGGATTCACCATGGGGGGTTATTCTGAGCCCCCCCTCCCCCTATACTTAAAAACACGAAGTCGATGATGGCTCCTGGAAGACAAAACTTCGGATCACCATATCACACTCCAAATAAAGTCATTGAAAGATATATCTTCAGGAGTACTCACTAGAAATTTCCATCAGGATAAAATTGCGCCACTTTTCCCTAATCCAACCGGCTTTGAATCTTTTTATTATCGCTTGGTGTGCACGGAAGAGTATTCAGATTAGCTGATCTGAAGCAACTCACCTCGTTTCGAAATTGCTTCACTTTCGAAATGCAGGGTGGTGAAGTGGAGAAATGAAAATCTGATTTCTCGAAATGTATGAACATTTATAAACGTTTCACTTCAAAATTGGTTAATCAGGGGCTTTTTGGAATGAGGATACCAAATACGGACACCTCTTTACTGTGGCTATTAGAGGACGCCTACCAATGCACTTCTTATGGTTTCGAATGACCATAACTTTTTTTCCAGTGTAGTTTCCAGAGTTGACGAAATGATTTTCTGAGTATTCTCTAGCAAAAAGGGTACACTTGCAAAAATTTGCTGAACTAATCTATTTGCAATATCACGGTTTTCAGTGTTTCATGCCGCATCAGAATATTAAAAGTGCAGTGCAGTGCAGTGCAGTGCAAAAATTGATCCTCCAAAATACACCATCGTAATATACTGGTCGATTTTTATTTTTTAAATATACCACCCTCTATGTAAGAAACGGAGCAATTTCGCACTGAGGTAAGTAGCTGCAAATCGACTTATTTTGATCTCAGGACTATATGCTGATATTTCGTACAGAGCTTCCATCATATTACTGAAATTATGATACTGAAAATAAAACCTGTACCAGAATACCAGATGAAATTGTGGATAAATACAACAAAAACAGTGAGTATCCGACTGAGAAGTTTGCTCCCCCACGACTGCATGAAATTAGGAAGTATAGTGATAAATATCGCAAGTAGATATTGAAAATACAGTATTCATTAAAATTGTTTGGGATATTCAAACTATATGAATATCGTAGATGATACCATTCCACAATCATCGAGCTGATCTACATATTAAATCATTGCTAAAATCGTTGCGATTGGTAAAAAACTATATCCATACCGAAAGTCATGATCATTTGAATTGCTCTAATTCACACATGACAGTAACAGCTCAAATATATTTGTATTGTGACCAAGACCTCTATACTAGTCGAAATATTTTTCATATCTTGAGGAAATGTATTCGGTTGTAATAAATCCCGTACTTTCAACTTTATTTGGTTCAGAGAATGTTCCATTTTTCATTGGATGTGTGTATATTGCGTAGGTATAATTGTCATTGACACTTTTGCCATCAGCAGTTTCATCTTCCCAGGTAAAATTTCTTCATCAATTTTTTTTTTTTTGTAATACGCTACTTGGGAACCAACTCCCCAGAAGTCGAAACTTGTGCGGGGTTAGGAAGAGCGGGACCTACAGCTTATAGTGGAATCCGAACCACTTCTAGGGCATCGAGGTGCTGCCTGGATTACAACCATGAATCACACATTTTGAAGAAAAATGCTCAGCCGATAGCCGGATTCGAACCGACAGTACCTCTGCATCGTGAACGGCTATCTTGCGAATTTCAGCGCATAGACAAACTCGACCACGGAGCCTAGGTTTGAGAAGTGTTACGTCTCAATAGGATGAATTCTCGAATGATGGTGATTTCTCAGGTTAGTGATGGAGAAACATGTATTATTTTGGCGGCTGGCGCCTTATTTAGTTCCACGTTCGAGCGCTGGTGCTGATCGGGTATTTTCGTTCAGTCTTTGCAGAAAACTATTAGCTTTAGGGACACTCTTGTCTCTTCGAGCAACCCAAGCGAGTTTTTGAAGGAATCGCTTAGGTCTCTGCTCACGCACTCTACACCCCCGCTTGGATCATTCATTGATTGGACTACTATGACAACTATCAAGAATTATTTCATTGATCTACTTGACGACATGAATTCACAGATTTCATAATTTGAGTGGCTGGGTCAACTTCACTGAGACAGAGGCTTTATCCCAATTTCCAAGGATGAATGAATATAGTATGTATAGGTAGGAAGGTAGGTATATAATATGCACTCACATGTAATTACAATTGGCGGCGTGCAAGGCACTCCCTCAGCCCTTGTCTCTTCGAAGTAATCGGCGCATGTATTATTGTATCTGTTGGTTACATTGTCGTAGTCCGGGCCAAACCAGGTGAAAGCGAAGCAATACGACCAATCTGGCTGAAGCTCTGGATAATCCGACGTGACGTTAGATTGAGCTGGAAATTTCACATGCACCTTACATTTTCGACCAAATAGAATCCTGTATTTTGTTTCGTTACCATAGCAACTGAACAAATTCTTGGGATTTTGTTCCTGCCTCCTGGAGGAATCTATACAGGGTGTAAATTTGAAAACTTTCAATGCGAATATCTCGCGAAATAAAAAAGTTAGGAAAACGCCGTTTGGCACCAATTCTAAAGACTTAGGGTTAACTATAACCACCATATTGCAGTGAAGAGATTATCCACCCCGTCGGCGCGACACTCCCCAACTCTTGAAATGTCAAATGGTACAACCTCTTATGCGATACCTCAAATGAACGGTCCCAGTCAGTAGTATTCACCTGTACAAGACTTTTTTTCCGCGGGGTATTCGCATTGAAAGTTTTCAAATTTACATCCTGTATATATCTATATATACCTATCTATCTACTTCATCTAAATCAATTTGTGCGGAACTGAAAGATTGAGCTTTTATCTAATTATTCCATTCGACCGAATAATGTTTGGTGCGTATGAGCAAATTCCATTGCGATACTGAAATAGTACTTCGAGTTCCTTGTGAGAAAATATATACCTATCAACTTCAGTGAAACGAAATGAAAAAACAAAACTGAGAAATTAAGTTACTATCGACTTATTTTTCATCATTTTGTGTGACTAAATTGAGTTAATTCCGTTTTATTTACGATGACAATGTTATGGATGTGACTTTTATTTGAACTTCATACTGCTCCGAGTTCCTTGTAACAAAATAAGTTTCCACCAACTGTGGTGGAATAAATTTAGTCAAGAATGATGGTTTGAACCCCAATTAGCTACTTCAATGATATCTTGCCCAACTAAATCGCTATTTTCATTAAGCGTAACTTAACACTAGTATTTGTTCACTAATACGTTGGTGTGAAGTTTTATAACCGAATACAACTCTAGTATCAATTTAATCCCGGATAATTTCCTCAAACACGTATATTCAGATAATTCTCCCTCGTCTTCGACTCGGGAAGATTCTCAAAATATTCGTGATTAAAAAAAAATGTTCGGTAATAATAATACGTTTCTGACGTTAATAAGTAAACTGACATATACATTTAACATCATATTAAGTCGAATTCATTCTATAAGTTGATAAGTTCCTTGCGAGAGAACATATCGATATCAACTTCAGCCGAATGAATTTGCGATTTTGCGAAGTTCAGAGAGATTGAGCTACTCTCGACTTATTTTTCATCATTTCATTGAACTGGAGTTGTTGAATTGAATTTCATTCAACCGAATGATATTACGTGATCGAATGCCATCGATACTGGATAGTTTCTTACCGAATACCACTCTAGCTTCAATTAAAAACCAAAATTTTTGTTTGTAATGATTAGAGCCCTCATGGTATTATGAGTGGAACTCTCACACCTCACATTTCCTACCTTTTTATAAATGCCTGTATTTTGTTCCGTTACCATAACAAGTGAAACAATGTCCGTAATTGTTTTCTCCTCCATGGGCGAGGAGCATGAAATTATAATGGATTTGTTTGACGCTTATAAGTGAAATGACGCATCAACATTCAGCTTCAGAATATGTCAAATTCATTCTACAAGTTATCCCTGGATGGTCTGTACAAATCGATATCATAGACTAGATTTGACAAATCTCAATGTTTTTTATTCACTAATTCGATACCTAACTTCAAGGCCTACTAAAAGTTCGTGATATTCCTATTGGTCTGCAAAAATATACAAATTTCAATATGATTTATAACTGATAGGTACTTTTCAAAACTATTCAATTATGCTAGGTTTGTACTTGATTTTTGTGTAATATCATCATATCAATGTTATTCAGTTTGCGGCAGACATTCCTCTACGAGTTCAGACGACAAGGTGTTGTATAAGAATGAGAAATTAAAATTCGATTCCAATTCAACGAGACATTTTGGCATGGAGATGAGTTTGGTTCAAAGATATCACCATGGTCTCAGGGGTCTATTGCATCATTTTGTACAGACCTTTCGGGGACATCCTGTTATGAGTTGATATGTTCCTTGTATGAGATAGATATTTAGGTAATCAGTTAGGACACGCGTCATTTTGTTTAACGATGGGATTGTGCGGGACAAGCGAAGCGAGATCCCGCAGAACACAGTTACACAAAAAGCATTTTTTAACGTGTTACCCATAATATTTTTTCTAATTTTGATGAAACTTCCCGTTCATCTACCGATTATTTACAAAATTTTTCCCAACGGATATCGAGGAAACAGCACAAAATACACTATTCTCTTCGACAATCCGTATTTGTATAACGTAACTGGTGTTGAAATCGATATTTCATATATTTCACCATACGCAACTACCCAGCGAGCACAAAAACATCTTAGAGATGTTAAAAGTACGAGATTTCGAGACATCGAACCTATCCACTGCGATGTTCTCTTTAAACATAAATAGTGATTTCATAGAACAGCTAATCGGGGCCGCAGACGGCGTTTATGAAGATGTCCTTAGGATGTCACAAGAATTTCTCCTCCCTAGTTTTTTTCATAGCCTTTTCATGGACACAACAGAACATTCTCTAATCGCCTTGCTCACATATTAAATCGCTGTATATGAATTATTTTTGAGCTCTTTTTCTGGAGCCTTTTGTTGAAACTTATGCATTCGGATTCCATTCTCCTCGAGAGCAAAGATGCATCAAGATAGTTTGATCATCAAAATATTTTCTTATGATTTATCAAATTATCTTCATAATCGGTTTCTAAGTAGCGCTACACAAATGCATATATTTGGGAATAGGTTTTCCAATTTTTGAAATGTTTTGCAAAACTGCATAATTTTGCATCTGCAGGGAAGCTGTGTATCGATACATTTGTACTTTTTTCATTAATTTCACTAGGACACCAAACACACATCTTGCATTTGCTGGTCTTATTCGCTATAGCGTGAACGAAAGCGTGAGACGCTGCGAACGCGAATGCGAACAAGAACAACGAAATCGAAAAAAAAATTGGAATTCATTGTATCGTGACGTAAGCATGAGACGTTGTGGTGAAGCAAACGAAAAAATGGTGAGGGAGGACAGAAACAATACTTTCAATATCCTTCAAAGACTTCTTTGGAGAGTGTATATTACGTCTCGAAAAAACATCCTGGCATCATTTTCAAAACATCCAGAGATACTTTCTCGATGGGCAAACGAAGAGATGCCACAGAAGGACGAAGATAATACTTTCATTATCCTATGAAGACCTCTCTGGCAAGTGCATATCACTGTGGGAGTTCATACCACAAATTTGAGAAGCAGGATCGAATTCAGGAAGAAGATTTATATTCAATATTCTCGATATTATATGACAGTATCTATCAAAATCGTTGTTATGGTATATCAACAAATTGTAATATCAAAATCTTGATATATTGTATTCAATACAGGGCTGAGTTGAACATCCTGATGCCTAATTTTTAAAAAATCCCAGGAATACCTATCAGTAGGCAAACAAAGAAATTCCACAGAAGAAAAGAAACAATACTTCAATATCCTTTGAAAACCTCTTTGATAACTGCATATTACGTCTCAAAAAATATCTCTTTGCCAACATCCCAGGTAGCACATGACGACTATATGACGTCTAATTGACGGCATTACATTCGGCCAAAAGACGTCTTTATTTTAACAAATGCGACGTCCAAATGACGTAAGTAAGACACATCCAAATGACGTCATATTTGAAAGTCTTTTAGACGTCAGTATGTGTTATCAAATTGGACCTTGAACTGACACTACTGACCAATTTCCGACGTCAATAAGACGTCTGTTTTTTTTATAAAATTTTGGGGTTAATGGTTATAATCTGGTGAGGAATGTAATCATTTGTGCTATAAAATAAATTCGCTACGAATGAAGATTTTATTAACAAGATAGTAATGTAAGGTATTACATATAGTTGAAAATTTCAGCGTCGATGGCTGCCCCTTCATAGAGAGCTCTTTTGTATGTTTTGTGTATAATTAAATGGCGGCCAAAACACTTCCTTTTTCAACGGCGTCAGCCAAGTTTCGTGAACAACAGCTACACTGTTGCTTCCACTGTCATCACACACACAATACATCCTGAATACTTTCACGTGAAAAACAGACTGTATAGAAATACCACTCAAACACTCAACATTTTAACATTCTTAACAAATCCAATGGCACAGACGCCGTTCACAAACAACGCCCATTCGGACATGGACGATGGACAATGAACATGAACGGGAACGCTCCATGCACGATGCAAGCTTGACGCTGAACCACAGACCGGGCCGCTAAACGCGAGGCTGAACGGCACTAACGCCACTAACGGCAGTCGCGAGATGGTCGCGAGTCGCATACACAATCTCTTCACGTGATTACTTGATCGCCATTGGCCATCTGGTCGGTAATGTGAGAATTGTCTTTGGCGCTAAATTTAAACATTGACAATAAAGGGAAGCCTATGGAATAAAATACATTTTCATTATACATTTATACAGTTATTTGGATAGATTAATTGATTTACTTCATAACTTCGTTTTCCTATACATAGGTACATAATAATAACTTGGTCCCAGTGATTATTCACCTCACAGGCTGTGAGGAGTAGTCACTGGATTTTATCCAGCACGACTCTGCGTGACGTCGGAGGCCGCAGGGTCGTGACTGGAATTATATGAACTCAAAGTATAATAATAATAATGATAATGATAGTGATAATGATAATGAAAAATATGAAGACCATAGATTGACGTCTATACGACGTCAAACAGTGGCTGCCCATAAGACGTCACTATAATGACGTCCGCATGACGTCATAATTTGGTCAAAAGACGTATGAGACCAAAAAAGACCTTAGATAGCGGTCCTATAGACGTCACATTCGTCAGTCTGGCTACCTGGGATTTTCAAAACATCTCAAATCATCCCAGGGATATTTGTGCTCGCTGGGTAGTTACGTAAAGTTGGACGTTTCAAAAATCCAGT